TGCCTTATAACAGTTTCGCGTTCAAATTTCAACTGAGTTTCATGTCAAATCGAGTTAAGTTTCAGACGCTCAAATTCTCTTTGTGTCAAGGTGGAAGATGATCGTGTCGTGTCTGTTATGCGATAGATACCAATTAATTCAACGGTTTTCAAAAACCCCTACTGTTTGTCCAAACTTGTAGAAGTTCGTTATAGCTCCTAAATAAGTAAAAAACACTTGATGTGAATATATCATCTGAGTCAAATTTCAGTAATGTGAGTTCGATTTCGGCGCCTTTATGGAACGGTCAGGAGCAGTTTTAGCTTAATATCCATCTCTTAGAATACAAAACCGTTACCAACCGTTACTTTCCTTGGTAGGAATTTCATAAACATCTTAATCTCTGATGTGAATCTTTTCCAACGTTGGTATTTACAACTAACTGCAGTGACACGTTGTGATAAAAATACAAAAAGAGAAAGGCGAAAAAGCTAAATTCGAATTAATTCGTGTACAGAAAAAGGATACGGCGTTATTAAAATTTATCTAATCTGCCGTAGGGGTTTTCGTCTTAAGACTACGAAAACTCTGGTTGTTATTGCCGTTGTGGTTTGTTTAAAGTCCCTATCATCGATATCAGACTTGACAAATGATATCGGCGATGAATATTAGAAAAACCATTAAATTTTCACTACTTAGATATGAAATATCAATCTTAAGGATGTCGCTTTTTACATGGATATTCATATAGTTGGAAACTTGTCTGGGGAATACTATTCTGGCCGTCTTCCGCTCCAAATTTACTCTTTAGGGAACAGTCATTATAAATCATCTGAAGGGATCGGGTGTTTTATGGAGGGAAACTGAGGAGAATGTGCCACCTTTCTATAATATCAAGAAATGGATAGACATTCTAGTCTTCTCGGATAAGAACGATTAAACCGTAGCTTCCGTCTTCTGCCGCATCTATTAATAATTTGGTTAGGCAGGGGACGTTAAAGAACCCACTCACGAGATTACTGTGATGTGGTCTGGCTTGTAAAGTATAGTGTCAACTAGATAGCAGATCCACATCAGCAATAGCTGCCATTTATTCAACCTGCTTTACCAAATAAAGGATGTATGTATGTTTTTAGGGGGAATGTTGTTACTAACAGAATATAAAGGGAAGAACTATAGATAATTGATTGCTAATGAACTTCCAGAGCCTTGTGTGCGGATCAGGTAAATCTCATCTAAAATCCTCCAGTTTTTCACAAGCCCTCAGTCGATTCGTATCGCTGAAAACTATCTTAAATACATCAGATCTTGCGCAAAGCCTTTGTTTGCAAAACAGACTACCTGCCAAGCAAATATCATATCGTAATCTTTCTAGTTCATGTTGTTCAAAGCTGGGTTAAAATAACTCAGGGTTATTGTGAAATCTGATATCAGTTCTGAAAGCTTTAAAAGAAACTTAGGTTTCATTAGGTTTGTTAATAGATGTTTAGTTAATTTTTGTTGCATGCTCTAA